TTTTCCTGATGATCTTTCTTTGAAGATGTATCTTCTGTTGCTCTAGCTGATCCAGACTGGTCTGCTTGTCCTTGCTAGTAGGAATGTCCCACCTCAGAGGGTTCTGGATGGGACCCAGGATTCCACCTAAGGTCCAGTATACTCTGCAAAGGCTTTGCAAGAGTGTTAGAACTCCTTTTAGGTATTCCAATAAGTTATACACTGAAGGCAGGCTTACAAGTTTTCTGTAATCATGTTTCCCAACATTCCTTTCTATCCCACTCAAGTGTCTATTTTACAATAGTAGGAAAGGGAAACCAATATTTATAAGACAGTCAGGCATTTTAGTATTGTTTCCCCTCTTCAAACTATGCCTAGATCCCTGTGTCACAGAGCCCTGTTGTTCCAAGAGTAAGCATGCATCACTATTTACCTTTGTTCCACTTAGGACTTGCAAACCTGTCTCAGTGTTCCCCTATCTATCTTGTTCTTCCGCCTCCTGCCCTTTCTTGTGTTGCCTTCCCTAAATTCCGAAATAAACCCTCCACCCCAACCCCACTGCTGTGGTTACTTTAAGTTCCATTAACTCTTCCTTCCATTTAAGATAGTCTATTTTATCCTGTAATCTGCTTGCCCTTCTCACCACCCGGATCTCTGTTCCTCTATGTTTACCTTCTTTCACATTGTAATTGTTTTGATCATAGACCGACCTCCCAGATCCTCTGTTCTTATAATTTTATTCTGTTCCTGACTCTTCATTTTTCAATTGCTTTCAGTATGATGCTGACACGTATGTCATTCTTTGTTTTTTGTCTGTTCTTGTTGGTTCTCAGTCCACAGAACTTCGGTTAGGATATTTTTCATAGCAGGGTTGGCTTTGGCAAAATCGCTTAACTTCTGATTATCTTGGAATGTTTTGATTACACCATTGTTTTTGATTGACAGCTTTGCTGGGTAGAGGATTCTTGTTTGGCAGTTTATTTCTTTCAGGGTTTTATATGTATCTCCCCTTTGCCTTCTTACCTGCATGGTTTTTCTTGAGAGATCCGAGCTTAATCTGATTTGCTTGCCTTTATATGTTATACTTCTCTTTTCCCTAGATGCTTTCAGGATTCTGTCCTTATCTGTGATTTGGAGAGCTTGATTATTATATGTCTTGGTGATTGTCTTTTAGGGTCTGTTCTTCTAGGGGTTCGTTGAGCTTCTTGAATGCTCATCTTTTCGCTTTTCAGGATGTTAGGAAAATTTTCTTCCAGCAGCTCTTCAACTATCTCCTGTGGCCTTGTATGATTCTTCCTGTTCTGGAATGCCTATAATTCTTACGTTATTCCTCTTCCTGTTGTCCAACATGTATCTTAGGCCTTCTTCAGATTTTTTTTATCCATTTTTGTGCTTGCTCTTCTGTCTTTGTAGTGTTGAGAGATTTATCTTCTAGCTCACTATTTCTAGCTTCTATCTCTTCAGTGCTACTCCTTTGCCCTTTCAGTGTATTTTCCACTTCTAATCTATTAATAATCATTTGGACCTCTTTCTGTGAGTTTTGAATTGTTTCCAATGCTGACTCTATCTTATTTGATTATTCTGTAGTGCTTTCCTGACTTCTTCCTTATTTTTCTCAACTGCATTGTTAGTGTTTTGATACATTTTATAATCATTTTTCTGAATTCCTTCTCAGGCATTTCCAAAGCCTGCCCATCTTCCAGTATGGCATGTAGGTCTCCTTCTAGCTCATTTGCCTCAGTCACTTTATCTCGTTTCTGGACATGTGCAGATATGGTCATCTGCTTCTGTTTTCAGGGCATATTCAGGAATTATCTGTGGTCTTAATACTTAGATGAGTGTGGATTTTGGTATTTTTTATGCTTTCTGATTGCCTCCAGGTAGATGTGATCAGGAGATGGGCTTCCTTTTTCACTGTTCTTCCTGAGAAATTTCAAGATGCCACTTTTGCTCATTGTGATATAACTCAGGATTTAATTTTCAGCGTATTTTCTTTTTACACTGCCTGTCCCACTCCACAATCCCCATTCAGGACTTTTTCCTAGTGATAAACAATTCAGGGCCAGCTGTGGCTGTGTGCTGCCATTTGGTTTTAAGTGGAAACTGCCACTTTAAATCTCAAGGAGATCTATGCACATGCGTAGTAGAACCCTACAGGGGTGGGGATGGTGTCCACTCGCTCAGCTTCCCCCCACTCCCGCACTTATCACTAGAATGGAGGTGTGCAGACAGTGAGAGACAGATACAGAAAAAGAGTGCCCACACCTTTATCTCCGCGGTTCTGTCGGGCATCCATGGGTGCTCGGTCTCACCCAAGATGGCAGCTCTGGGAGCAGCTGAGTGTCTTGGATTAGAAAACAATGGATTTCTTGCTTCTGCTACAAATTCCCCTAGCTGTAAGCCTTCCAACCTTTTAAATATCACTTTATATATGGTCCAGGGTTCTGGCACCATCCCCTGAGCCAGCCTGGTCTGGTATTCTGTGTTGTGTTGATGGAGCTCCTCACTGCATTTCCACCTGATCTGCTATCTTGTTTGTTCCCTCTCTTAATTTCTTTTAGTGAGCAGTTTGGCCCATTTTCTGTTAAATTTTCTTACGTTGCAGCATCTTCATCTTTTTGTGTATGGTTTGCAGTTTTTTGTTGTTTTTTTTTAATGCTTTTATTGTGCGTTGAGTAGTAGTTTACATGTGAGGACATCAGCTTTGCACTCATCCTAGCGTATTTCGTATCATTGCAATGATTACAGTCCTCACCATGCATCACTATTCAAAAGTATTTGCTTCTATTCCCTCTGGGTTTTTTTTTTCTGATGTACACAAAAACACTCAGGAATATATAGTCATTTAAACAACAAAGGGCACATTCTGCAAGCCTGCCTCATGGCCGCCAGCATGTAGCCTTTCTCTTTCCATAAATCTAGAGTCCTTGATGCTCTAATTCTCCATATCATCATCTTTGTCTCCATCTGAGGTGTCGCTGCTTCTTTAGTCTCATCAGTTTTGAAAGCTATTATCTAGGACTCTTTGATATACTTACTATAAAGTAAATTTTTAGAGGCTTTCCTTTATTCTTGTAACTAATAACCAATGTTGGGCTTTTTTTTGAAAAAACAAAATAAAACAAGCCACAACTTGATTATGTTGTTTTGTTTCCATGTAATACACTCCCCTCCATGCACCATCAGCTAACAGTATTTGCCTCTATTCCGCCCCCCCCTCCCTTTTTTTTATGTACACAAAAATTCACAGTGATTTATAATTGTTTAAACCACCAAAGGGCACATTTTGCAAACCAGCTTTCTGCCTGCCAGCACACAGCCTTTCTCTTTCTGTGTAAAAGTCTAGAGTCCTCAGATGCTCAATCTCTCCATGCCATCACCTCTTCCTCTATCTGTATTGTTACTACTTCTCTGGTTAGCATCCCAAGTTCCTCTCTTGCTCTTCTCTCTTGGTGGTCCTAGGTTCCTGTGTACCTGGAATGTAAGGTTAACTACTCATCCCTTTTTGTTACACAACTTCTACATTTACAGTTCTGACAATTGCAGTTAGTCATGATAACAGTTACTCACTATTGAATCAGCAGAATCCTATCGCTATCTCCTTATACCAGACCATCTAGACAAAATGGAATCTACCTTTTCCCGCATGCTCTGAAATTAAACTTTCTCTTGAAAACATGTAAGCCAGCCACTCTATACCTTTATGTTGTGAAGTGCTGTACAGTCAATTCTCACCCATAGAGATCCCGTATAGGGTTTCCAGGGAGTGGTTGGTGAGCTTGAACTACCAAGTCCCCCTCACCCCATTTTAGGTAATAGATGGCTAAGTTGCCTATCCCTTTCAAGTCTGTATTGAGGGGATTGGCTTTGTCCTTGATGCCATGTTATTTTATTTTATCTGTAAGATAAGCACTAAACTGCTAATGACAAAGTCGGCAGTTAAAAAAAATCCTTTATAGGATTGCTATGAGTTAAAATTGACTTGATGGTGCTTAACAACAACAGTTGGTTGCTGGTTAGTTAGATAAGTTAAAAATTTTTTTTTAATTTAACAGGTATTTTCAAATTTCTTTCAATAGTGTTTTGTACTTTCTGACCAGAGGATTTATTTTTTAATTTAAAATTCCAGTACCAGTTTAATAGGAAGATCTTTATCAAGTTATTAAATCCTACTAAGACTTAGTTTCCTCATCTTTAAATTGAAATATGAATGGTGGTGGTGGTTATGTGCGGTGGTGTCAGTTCTGACTCATAGCGATCCTGTACAGGGTTTCCGAGGCTGTAAATCTGTACGGGAGCAGAAAGCCTTATCTTTCTCCCGCGGAACAGCTGGTAGTTTCGAACTGCTGACCTCAAGGTTCACAGCCCGATTCATAACCACTACGCTACCAGAGCTCCTTGAAATATGAATAGTACCTCTATAAATATTACTGGACTCTGGTGTGGTGCTGTATGATCAGTGCTGAACTGTGAACAACAAGGTCAGCAGTATAAACTTACTAGCAAGTCTTTGGAAGTGTGGGATCACTGAGTTGGAACTGATTCAATGACACTTAACAAAATAACAGCAAATATTAGATAATGCTATATTTAACAATAGGCCTAAAATTTGTATTTTAACTTTTTGATTGTTTGTAAATTAAAGATACACACACAAACTGTACTTAGGACATGCTATTTCAGCGGCCTTTCTAATCTGCGTTATTCTTCATGCAGCTCAAAATAAGAAAAATTCCCATAGAGGAAATGAGAAAGAAAACCCCATTAAATTAGCAGTATTATTATAAGATACTGTACATCAAAGGGGAATTTTGATTGCATTTTGTTGTCTCCTCATAACAACCTTAGAAAAATAATTAAAAATTTTCCTTTAGTCTAAAATGGAATCACAAAATTTTTATGATGCTTTGTCTCAAGATATATTCCTAATGATGTTGGCATGGCAGTGGTGATATAGTGTGCTCTTCAGGTGTAGATCAGTGTTTCTTTGTTAACTAGTGTTGTGAATTGAATTCCCCCAAAATATGTGTCAACTTCATTGAGCCAGTATGGTTAGAGGAATTTTAAAGGTAAATTTTTGATAGAATCATGAAGGGAATTTTTGGGAAAGCATCTGAATAAATGCCTGATGAAATGTTGAGGATGTTTGTGGTGTGGCCTCATTCTTTTTCCATCAACTTCTTGAAATGAGCAATTTAAAAAATTCAAATGTCCCATTTATTTTTCTTAAAATTCTATTATAGCTGTTGAAAATAGTTGGTTATAAGATTTATAATTCACAGTGTAATACTTTTAGTTTTAGTGTACAAATTAACATTTGGAAGACAACAGAAGAAAGCAAACTAATTTTTCTTGAGGAGAAAACTAGAATTAATCGAACTGTTATTTGAATAGCTGCCTATTGTATCTTTTCTTCCTTTCGGACATACAGAGTTCTATATGAAGGGAAAGAACGACTTATTCCAGGATGTGAAGTGATCCAAGCCACACCCTATGGTCGCTGTGCCAATGTCAACAATAGTTCGACAACTTCACAGAGAATCTTTATCACTTACAGAAGGGCTTCTCCGATTCGACCTCAGAATTCCTTAGCTGTAACTGATATATGTGTCATTGTAACCAGCAAAGGAGAAACCCCTCCTCATACCTTTTGCAAAGTTGACAAAAACTTAAATTGTGGAATGGTAAGAATAAAGTTGTTTCATTTTCAATTTTATGTGGAAAAAATATATATCATGAGATATATTTTGTATTTATTTATTGAGCATATAATTTATTCTCAGTATATAGTTTGATAGTTCTTGTTTTTATTATTTATAGCTTATTAATTTTATGATGCACAGTAAATTCTTAAATCCTTAGCTATCTTATAAGTTAGAATAATTTCATCTAAAAAGACGGAAAGTTTGTTAGGAATTATTTTGTCCTTGTATTTCTTAATACTGCCTGTGTTACACAACATAGAGGTTTACTTAGCCTTCAGGTTTCAGTGGTGTCGTCAGGACAACTGCAGTGTTAGTGGGTGGGGGCTTCTTGTATTTATTTAAGATATTGTAATTCTGCATACTCAGTTTTTGAAAAGGTTCTGTAAGGAAAAGAAAATTTAACATGTACATTTCATTTAAAAGTTTATAATAAAGTTTAATACTGGGTCAGATTTGTTTTAAAATATATCTTCAGGTCAAACTAATACTGGCTTAATTAAATGTGCTGTATGGCAGGAATGACAAATGCACCCATCTTAATAGCGAAGAGAGATTTGTTGCTGAGGGTGATATCTTTGTAGCTCCCTAGTAATTCCAGTTTCCTCTAGTTTGGGCACTAGCATTTGTTCCACTTTGTGCCGACTCTCTTAGAGGTTTTCTGACTCTGATTTCAGAATTGTAAACTTTTGGAAACTGCTTTTACATTACTGTACTTTAACTTTTGTGGCAGTGATTTGTTACACCCTTATTTTCTTCTAGTTTAGTGTTAACCTTCATGCTTATTGTAGTTTTATACTTTACAGTCTGTTAGATACATGTTTTAGATAGACTCCCTGAATAAATAATAAAGAAACTAAAACTTTTTCGGCTTTTTTTTTTTTTTTTTAAATAAACAACCTAATTTATATTTTACAGTGGGGTTCCAGTGTGTTTCTGTGTTATAAGAAGTCTGTTCCTGCTTCTAATGCAATAGCATATAAAGCTGGTGAGTAAATTTTAAACAAGGTAGTTGTTGGTGCATATTAGAAAAAACATATAGATGGTAAAATTGATTGATCCATAATATTGAATTTTCTATTATTTTAAGATACGAAAGCTCAAAGTTTTGTAAATATATTGAATATTACAAGATACATGAATATGCCCCTCACACACACCAATGTGTTAATTAAATTTTAACTTTTGTTCAAAGCAAACATATATGTAATAGGCTTTCACACTCATCTGGTCTGCACTAATACATTTAGCAAGTCAGTGGAAAACTGTTTACTCTGCCCTTTTGTATTTTGGCAATCAGAAAGGTATCAAACTACATCTTTACTTCTTATATTTCCTTCTCTTATTTGTGTGTCTGATTTGAAACCACAAGTCACTTGCCATGAAATGTGGACTTGGCTTCCTTTCTCCCTTGTTGCAAAGAATCAGCTATATGGAGGAGAGGAGGGCCTGAGAAAGTTTTCTGCCGTGAAGTATTTGAGATCTCTATCGCCACATTCTTACTGCACAGTAAAGTGTCAAGGGCTGTAAAGATTAAAGTGTGACTTCTCCATCCCACTGGTATGGTGGGATAGAAACTGAAAATACAGGTATGCTCCAGTTGTAAATAGAAGAGATACTGGAATAGTAGAGATACCGGAATAGTACTGGGTGAAAAGACATAGTATCAATTATTTTTTGATCATGCACAATTCTTTGAAATAAAGTTTTAATTCAGAAAAATGAGGCAAATTTATGTGAAAAAAATCTTGTCATAAAAATGATCATTAATGAGTCAAACCAATTAATTTATAATATAAAAATAAAGGTGGTAAGTAGCATTTAATAAATTTTAGTGTAGTTTAAAAATAATAAGCATTAATGTTGTAATGTGTTGATTTATGTGATTTCTTACCTTTTTTGGAGGTGCAAAAGGTATCATTAAAAAAGATAGCAACAAGTTGTGTGACAATATGTGGTATGAGACACATTTTAGAGTAGAGTTTTGGGGACTGAAATTGGATTTAAATTCTGCTGCTGATTTTCACACTTTTATCTTAGAGTTGGTCTGTAAGTTGGAAATACCTGAAGCGAATTAACATATGCTAATTAACAGATAGCAGGTTTATTCTGAAAGGGCTTTGTCCCCAGTACCACTGCTTCCTACTTTGAGTCTTATGTGCTCTGCGTTCCGTTTCAGTGGTTTCTGTCTCTCAGTGGTTTCTGTCTCGTTTACTTCTCATGTTGCATGCCTTTTACATTGCCTCTCTCTTAAGATGAGCTTTGGGACTCTTATAATCTCTGCTGCTTTTGTGTTTTTTGTAACATTGAGTGTTTCCTGAATTTTTTACTAAAGATTACTGAACTAGTTCATACTTTTCCCTGTATGTTTCTTACCATTCTACCAAAGTGTTGACTGTACGTAGAAGAAAACATATTAGAATTGCCTATCCTGTTGATTAGGTTCTTGACCAGTATATTTAATTCTGTATGGAGTACTGGTGTGGCACTATAGGATAATGCTAACTGCAAGGTTGGCATTTCAAACCCACCAGCTACTCCTCAGAAACCCTATACAATGCTGCTATGAATCAGAACTGACTTGATAGCACTTAACATGTTATAATTAATTTAAAAGTATATGAGTTTAAAATTAAAAACAAATTTAGTAATTAAATTTTTTTTCTGATATGGCAAGAGGAAAACTGAGTTTAAAATATCACACAAATATTTCCATGAAATTTGGTATTAAAATAACCCTGTTAATCTATATTATATAATTTATGTAAAAGTAACTATTTTCAAGTTTTTTTTTAATCAACTTTCTCTTTTCTCTAAAAGGTTTAATTTTTAGATACCCGGAAGATAACTATGAGTCATTTCCACTCTCAGAATCTGTACCTCTCTTCTGCCTTCCTATGGGCGCTACTATTGAATGCTGGGATCCTCAAACCAAATACCCACTGCCAGTTTTTTCAACTTTTGTACTAACAGGTTCTTCTGCCGAAAAGGTATGTTTTTTGCATGTTTGGTTAAGCCTGTTTTTTCCTGTGTGTTTATTCATATAAAATGATGACTATGTTATGCTTCATTTGTATGTAGAATTATTTGGACACAATACAAATTTTTAAAAAATTTATACTATAATGAGAACTTATCATGAAAAGTAGTATAATAAAATTTGATGCTCATACCCCTGGCACTTCTACAGGAGCAAATAGGAAGCCTCTCTATATAGACACCTCAAACCCAGGCATCCAGGTGACAACATGGTAACAGAAGCCATCGGTACCATAGAAAGGACACAGACACACTAAAAAGCTGAGTTAGACCCTTAGACATTGAAATGACAGGATGACAATATAAAAGATGTCATAGAACTATTTTAAAAGCGGTTAAGACCTATTAGGAAGGACACAAAACATTATGTAAATAACAGGATATTTTTGAAACATGAAAAAGCAAGCTGGGAAAAGCATCAAGTGTCTAGAAATGAAAAATTAAAATAAAAAAATTCAATGAATGATTTAAATAGCAGAGAAGGAATCCCTGAAGGAAGAATTAGTGAAATTCCTACTGAGAATTGATTTGTCAGTTTCTGAAATGTGTTTGAAATTTAAGGATTGCATTCTTTATTTCACTGTTTTGGCAATAGGAGAAGAGAATAATAGGGAGATCAATAGGAAAATGGGGTTCCTTTAGAAATTCACTTAACTAGACTCCCAACAGTACGTAAGTATATATAATTGCGAAGGCTAGCTACTTTTTGCCTTGGCTTGTGTGCCTGATTAAGTATGCATATCTAAATAGTACTACTTGAAAGAGTAGAGACACAAGCCATTAAAAGTTAAATTCCATTTGACTTTGTAAAAAGAAAAATTTAGAATTTTGTTTTATGAACTGCTCATCTCAAAATTTGAAAATTGTTATCGAATAATAATAATGCTGTGAAAAATATTCCACAAAGTGGTTAAGAATGACAGCAAGTTACATGACAGGTACTATCCACTTTTGTTTATTATATGTTCAAATGTATAATTATAGTGGAAATTTTTACATCAAAAGCTGCTGATCAACTCTGGGGTAGAATTTACAGTGAGTTTTGTTATCGTTGTCATACTTACAGCAAATATTTCTTGTATAATAGAAATTAACTTTAAAAAAAGCAAGCTTGAATTTTAGAAGAGTTTTTTTTTTTTTTTTTTTCTGTAGGTATATGGAGCAGCCATCCAGTTTTATGAGCCTTACTCTCGGGAACTGCTAACAGAGAAACAGCTTTTGCAACTGGGCCTGTTGACACCTGTGGAGAGAAAAGAGGTCTCCAAATCCATCAATTCAAATAAATGCATTTGTTTACTCTCACACTGGCCTTTTTTTGAAGCTTTTAGAAAGTTTCTAATGTTTATCTACAAACTTTCTGTGTCTGGACCACATCCTCTTCCCATTGAAAAGTATGTATAATGATTAAAGAGATGTCTGGTGAGAAACTGAATGTATAAATACACATTTCATTGTTTACCTACCTTTTGACAGTGGCGGCAGAGTTGAAAGGGAAAGAGTAATTATTCCTTTTTTTACTCCTTCCCTCCTTCACCTGAGTCATTGACTGGGAACTTTAAAATTGAGGGCTGGCGGGGAAGGTGGCCAAGTAATAACCTGTAGAGAATTCAGCTAAGGAGGGAACTCACATATTGTCTGAGTTCCCTTTCCTTGTTCATTCTCTAATAACCAAGAGAAAAATATATACTGGTATGTGTACACACATACACGCCCATTCCACATTCTACCTATAAACCATCTCTAAACTGATGTATAAATTAGGAAGGGTGAGTTAAATTCATATTAAGAAATTAGGACTTTGGTTTTGACAGAATTTATATGTTTTCCCTTTGATTTGTAATTCCCTTTGTCAGGGAAATCTTTTGTAATCAAGAAAAATGTGGAACCACTCTTGTCTGTTTTAAACCTTATGTTGTTTAAAATTTTTAGTGGCACATTGAGTCTTGCTTATCATCCTATATAATTTATGTATTATTTCCAGTAAACCAAGAGGTGTCAAGAGCTTTGTGGAAATGTATTATAAAATCTGTAGGTATATTAATAATCCAGATTTTTATAGAATATAGAAATTTTTGCATTATAGAAATACTATTACTAAAATCACATGAGTGTAGTGGATAAGATGGGGATAATTACCTGAATGCTTTAAAATAATGCTTTTGAAAATGAACTTTTAAAACAGCTAAGTACTACATGTAAAACACATGTATATAAATATGGTTTCAACTTTAATGTTATACTCTTCAAATTCTAATTTAATGGCTCGTATGTGCAGATTTAACTTTCAGTTTTAGATTTTCATTTTTTCAGCATCCTGGTGTGGCATTGTCATATAAGCACTGGACTGCTAACCACAGTGTCAGCAGTTCAGTCTCACCAGCTGCTCCTTGGAAACCTTATCCTGGTTGATATGAGTCAGAACTGACTCCATCGTGTTTAACAATAACAACAAAATATAATATTTTGAAAAATTAAGGTTCTAAGCATATGGAGTCCTGGTGTGGTGTTGTGGGATAATGCGCTAGATGGCAAGGTCGGTTTGAACCACAAAACTGGTGGTTCAAACTCACCAGCTGCTCCTCAGAAACCCTATACAGGGTTGCTATGCGTCAGAAGACTCTACAGCATTTAACAACAACAGTAACTAATCATAATGTAAGCAGCTCAGGTAGTGTAATGAGTTGTAAGTTGGATTGTTAACCTCAAGGTCAGCAGTTTGAATATACCAGCCACTCTTCAGGAAATAGATGAGGCTTTCTGTTCCTGTAAAGATTAACAGCCTCAGAAACCCTATAAAGGGTTGCCAGGAGTCAGAACTGACTCCACTGCTCATAACCACCACCACCACCACCGCCACCACCAAGCATATTTTGTGAAAATAAAAATATTTTGATCAACTTTTTTCTTAATTGAAGTCATATTTTGCATTTTACTGACTCATAAGAGCTTAAGAGTTTGTAGAAACTAAGAAACAGTGTAAGGTGGGAAATATAGAGATAAATGGTTTGACCAAAATGTGCAGTAGTAGCTCTGGGTTAAACTCTGTCATTCACTTAAATTCATTATATCACAATTAGTTGCTTCCTTGTACTAGGGTTATGAAAGTAAGATTTCTTCATGAAAACAATATTCATGATCCTATTTTCCTGGAGATAATAGGGAATATCAACACCAATATAATAAGGAGTACAGATTTTGACTCAGGAAAGCCATTGTTTAATTTAGAAATTTAGTGGTCATGAATACATTTATATACATTAAGTAAAATCATATTTTAGTTTGAGGTAAATGGCTTTGTCAGACTTGAGGTGAACAGTTATTGAGAGAATGTATTTGCTCTGTTAAAAATCAATTACTAAATTAAGATTATGATTTTTATTTCAAAATTTTTTCTAGGCATGTATCACATTTTATGCAAAATATTCCTTTTCCTTCACCACAAAGACCAAGAATACTTGTACAGGTAATCAAAGAGACTGTTTGGGGAGAACGATGCATCTATTTCTTTAAATTATTGCAGAATAGATTCTATGGCCCTCTGAGTTCAAGGTGGAGTCTTATGCATTCATAAGTACTTGAATTTCCAGTATTTTATTCCTTTACTTAACACCCCTTTTATTGCTTTTTTGGATCTTAGTTGCACAAAATTGGAGTAACTATTACACTTTGTTCATTATCCATGCTTGGTCTTTTTATAGCTGTAAGCCCAAAATGATGTGCATGTTCCTCATATTGGAGCAAGAAATTAATATGAAATATGAAATTAACTGTAACTGAGGGTGGGGTGGCAAGTGAAATAGTCTATTTCTGGTAAAGGACTGGTTTCTTTTTTCAACCAACGACAGATCTGTACAGCTTGTGCCAAAACATTTACCATGTGAGTTTAGTATAAGCATGAACAGGCTATATCCTGTCCAAAGACATGAGCCTCCTGAATGCGTTCTTGCGTGTGGCAACAGTGTCAGATTGCCAGAAAAATTCCTAATGGCTGCTCTCCATTTCCATTTGGTATCTTTCTAGTTCTGTAACAGTTTGCAAACTGGCAATGGGTCATGGACTGGCATTTTGAGTAGCACTAATCTATTCCTGGAGACCTGGTGTGCTGCTGTGGGCTAATGCACTGGGCTGCAAAGTTGGTTTAAACCACAAGATTGGTGGTTCAACTCACCAGCCACTCCTTGGAAATCTTGTATAGGGTCACTATGGGTCAGAACTGACTCGATGGCACTTAACAACAATAACAACAATCTATTCCTGGGGAGTCCTGGTGTGGTGTTGTTGGATAAGCACTGGACTGCTTATCAAAAGGTCTCTGTGAGTCGGAACCAACTTGAAAGCACATAGCAACAAATCCATTCCTAAAACATAATAAATAAATATTATGTATTATATCCAAAAAATGTGTTATAGCTAACATTGTTAATCTTGACTGCACTTCAACAGTACCGGTCCATATCAAGCAACTGCCAAGTGCATACCAGTCTGTTGAATGAATACATTTGAGCCTTTTAAAAATCAGTAATTCCATTATGTTTATAACTATTTTTAAGCAATTAACTGAATCAAATTCAGTTGAATTAACTGTTAATCAAAAGAAAAAAACAAAAAACTAATACCTCTGAGTAAATATAACTAAGGTTTGTTTTTTTTTAAATCTTAGTGCATGTTTTGAAAAAGGATGTTTGTCTGCATATTAAATTTTATTTTACCCTTGATCTAGATATTTAGAGTTTAATCAAAATGGGCTTGTTTAATGGATTCTTTTTTTTTTCTCTTTTGAAGTTATCAGTCCATGATGCATTAATATTATCACAACCAGTCTCTACACCTTTACCATTAAGGTAATTAATGGAGTTTAAATGATTGATTTATTCAATTGGAACAATATGCTTTAAAATAGCTTAGGGATTCGGATAACAAAGTTAAGTATTATTTTACAAATGTTCTAAGGATAGCTGTAATGTTTCTAACTCTAATAACTGGATGGATGGTGAGGCTCTCTCAAAAATGGGTACACTCTCTGGTAGCGTACTGGTTACGAATTAGGTTGTGAACCTTAGGGACAGCAGTATGAAACTTCCAGCTGTTCCGTGGGAGAAAGATGAGGCTTTCTGCTCCCATAAAGATTTACAGCCTCGGAAACCCTGTACAGGGTTGCTATGAGTTGGAACTGACTCCACGGCACATAACAACAACACCAATGCAAGATTGGATGTAGGGAGTACTTAACTTTCTTCTTCCTTCTCTCTAGCTTCTTACTTAGTTCATAAGGCTATGTGCAAGCCATATTGAATCCTCTGGCTTCTCTGCATGAGACTTCGTGAGACTCCCCAAGGCAGCTTCAGTAACCTTATAACTGGTTTCCTTTGAATCTTGTCCTACTGCAGCCCGGTATCCCCTTGAAAATACAAACATAATGGCATCATTTCTGTTGTTGCCTAATCTTTCACTATTTTTATCCTCTCTTACTATTCTTTAGTCACAATTGGCTTATTTACATTTCTTAAACATATTTTTTAAAAATAAAACGTATTTTTTTAAAATAATACTTTTTTTTTGCCTCACAGCCATTGCATACATTGTCTTTATCCCTCCCCCTCCCCCCTTCCTTTTTTCCCTTTGTTCTTTTGAGCTTAGCTCATATGATGATTCTTTAGGAAACACTGTCCTGATCAACACTCTTTTGTTACCAAAAGAAGAGTTTAAATCTTCCTGTTAGCACCCTGTGCATCCTTTATCATTGACTTATCAATTTTAAATGATGTCTGGGTGACTATTTAGGAATGTGGTGGGGTGGCTATACAGCAGGGGTGGGGAACTCCAGGCCCTCTGGTCACACAAGGCCTTGAAACCCTTTCGTCTGGCCCTGCTATGGCAACTGCTAGCAGGAGTTGAAATTCTGTAAATCTAGGAGCTTTTTTCATAACCACATAAATTCAAATTAAGTTATGTTATAAATATCCAAATGGCCCTTGGCAGAAAAACGGCTCACCATCCCTGCTATATAGGAGAAACAACAAGATCAGTGGTTCAAGTCCACTGGGCTCTGTGGGAGATGAAGCTATCTTGGAAACTCTCAAGGTTGCCATAAATTGGAATGGACTCAAGGGCATTTAACAACAGTGTGACTGTTTATAGTGATCCATGAAGTCAGTGACTGTTTCTATTCCTTTAGCCTGTATGTTTCCAGCCCCTGGCAATATGCCTGGCACATAGTAGACATTCAATCATTTCTTGAATGAATGAGCATTCCAGGTCTGGAGGCATGAAAGTCCTTGGTTTATTGGAGGACCATGGGATAGATACCCAGTGCAGCTGGAATATAGGATGTTTAGAGGATGATGCATATGTTTGCCATGGAAAGTGTTGTACAGATTTATTATTTCATTTGCAGGGTTTTTTTTCACCCTAATTCTGTTTTTCTGGAAAAAACTTAAATTTAAGAATCACCTATTATTTAAGCTAAACTTTCTTTTTGTTTTGAACACTCAGTTACTTAATCCTCTTCCTGTCTTTAGATTTGCTGATTTTCATTGGTAGCTAAGTCAGAACTTGACATTAATACTAGATTCCCAACCCATTAGTATTTAGAAGATAATTTAATAAGAATATCTTAAGATGTGTTAGAAAAATAGTTCACAATTCTCTCTTTTCTCTCTCTGTAGTGGAGCCAACTTTAGCACCTTGTTAATGAATTTGGGTCCTGAGAATTGTGCAACACTGCTACTCTTTGTTTTACTGGAGAGTAAGATTCTGCTTCATTCTCTCAGACCAGCTGTGTTGACTGGGGTAGCTGAAGCTGTTGTAGCCGTAAGTATCAAATTTTTCTTTTACTTCAGAATTACCGAGAAAGAATTTTTACACAAAGAAAATAATCAGCCCAATAAAAGTTCACATAAATACAATGGAGTGGCAAAGATCAATAGAAGGTTATAGAATACAAACATGATTTCTATTGGTGGGAAAATGTTTTTGAAATTGCATGTTAGAGTTCTGCCGAGAGTGGAAGTTACGTGATTACATAATAAATTTATGAAGTGGATTGTACTCCTTGAGGGGCTCTGACTAATTTCAGTTGCCCTAAAATGATGCAGATGTATTACTTGGTTAATTTTTCTCACTTTAAAACATCTTGAGCCAACTACTGTTTTTTGTGGAGGTTTTGTTGTTGTTGTTTTTGCTGTTAACATTGATGTGTGTCAGGGTAGAACTCTGTACCTCATAAAGTTATTTCTATTTTAGTTTTTATTGTGAATCAAGTGAAGGTTTATAGAGCAGATCATCAGTTTTACATACAACAAATTAATCTATTTCACTTAATTACAATGATTATAATCCCCTCCATGTACCAACAGTTAACAGTATGTACCTCTTATTCACTGTATTGCATTTCTCCCTGTGTCTTTTGTTACCTTCATCTTTCCTCTGTTAACCTCCCTCTTATTGTATATTGCCTGACCTGTCACCATGTCTACCCTCTAGCTCATGAATAATTTTCCCTACTCTGTCCCCACCTCGTAACCATCATAAATTGCTTCTTTTATTAAGAAAACCTTTTCTTAATATTTTATATTAGTTATATACAATATTTGCCCTTTTGTGATTAGACTAATATCACTCAGCTTAATGTCCTCCAGAAGGAATTCTGGTAGTATAGTGGTTACAGATCGTGCTGCAATCCACAAGGTTAGAAGTTTGAAACTACTAGCTGTTCCATGGGAGAAAGATGAGGCTTTCTGCTCCCGTAAAGATTTACAGCCTCGGAAACCCTGTATAGAGTTGCTAAGAGTCGGAACCGACTCCATGGCACATAACAACAACAGCAATGCCCTCCAGATTCATTCATGTTGTAAGATGTTTCACATATTCATCGCCATTCATCAACATTACACAGTATTCCACTGTATGTATGTACCAAAGTTGGTTTAGCCATTCTTTTGTTAGGCATTTAGGTGGAGAGTCTCGTTTTTGATGTTCCTTGTAGACAGCATATTGAAGGACCTGTGTTCCTATCCATTCTGTTCTCTGTGTCTCTTGACTGTTGCACTTAATCCGTTTACATTCACTGTAATTCTTGTTAGGTATGAATTCATTGCTGTCAGTTTGCTGTGTGTATTTTTGTGGTATTGCTGGTTTCTTTGTTACACATAATTTCCTGTATTGAGTTAATTTTGTTTGTGGATTTTCTTTTCATTTTCAATTTTGTTGTGTTAATGGTTACTAAATCTCTCTAATTTTCCT